ATATATATATATTATTTGCCCATGTTTATAACTGAACACATTTTGTAAATCATAATAAATGCGACTGTTCATTTTAACTCACTGAAGTATGGTTTGGAGACGGTGGCTCTAACAAAATACATTTTAACTAAAGGTGGCAGAGCAGAAGATGCTCAGATTGTCGCTGGGGGTGAACAGCGTGGACAGGCTGAGCATTTAGAAAGTTAGAAAGTCAAAACTGAGACAGTTTGGAAATGCAGAGAAGACAGTAAATAAACTGAATAATGTATAATGTATGGAGCAGCTAGGCAGGAGGAAAAGAGGAAGAGCACAGAGTAAGTTTTGTGTAATTAACAGAGGGGCTGGCTTCACAGAGCAGTATGCTAGAAATCGGGGGAGATGGTTAACTGTGGCGACCCTTAAAGGAAGCAGCTGAAGACGAAGAAGATCCTGCTAAGTTAGGATTTATTCACCATGAGGATTCCCAGTAGTGGGTGACCTATTGTTTAATCAGCATATTCAAAATGGAGTCCAGACAATGGTTTTAAAAATTAATTCGATAACTGAACAAGACAGCTCCTCGTTAGATATCGACAAAACCCATGTTCAGTCTATTGAAATATGATTTAAGAGTGCTGATTTGAACGGTTTATATAATTTTTATTGTCATCAGCTGACCCTCTTGCCTCATGTATATTATATGAGGGCGTGGTTTATCGGAAAAGACTGAGAATAGACAGGACAATTCAACCACTGAGAAACCTGCAGGCAAATTTGACGATGGCGCTTCAGCGAGACAGCCAGTGAAAGCGAAGAGGGGGCGGGACATGCGCGCGACGCTGCTTGCTACCGGGGAAACAGAGTTCTGAGGGTATGAGGCACAGTACCGGTGGACTGAAAACTCCCGCCATTTCGACAGGGAATTAACCTCCTCTTAGCTGATTCAGGTTACTTTCTCGCAACGCTTGCTCACGCTGTTACCTGACGCCAAGGAGCTTCAGAGCATGCAGCGAGTACAGTTTAAAAGGGAGCAGGCCTAATTTGCGAACACTTGCTCGGGACTGTACAGCCGCCAGATCTGCTGTTGACTGACGGTTGCCGTGAGTTTCATTTTGGTGCATCCTTTCACGTTCACCCGAAGGTGCTGAACTTTAACAACTGAGTCCGGGGACACGTTTGCCAGCGTGTTTTCTACCTAAGGTGCAGCGTAAAAATAGCCTGACACCACTTCCAGAAGAGCAAAGGATGGTGCGATGAGTCCGGCGGCGAGAAGCGGCGCACTGTTATTGTTTTGCAACGAGATAACCCAGCCTGCTAGCTAGAAAGCTAGCTGCTACACGCTGAGAGCCGGGCCTGCCGGCGGTAACGTGAGACGTGCTATCTGTCGGCTCTGACATTTTTAATACTGGGATACATGCAAAGGACATACCATTGTGTACTATTGCGCTAGTCTGTTGCTAGAATATCTGTTTTTACTTTCGGCACTTGTGCCATCTCTGGATTTGAAATGGCACCGCTTTTGGGCCGGAAACCGTACCCGCTGGCTAAGCCGCTAGCCGAGCCACCAGGCCCGGGAGAGGAGGTCTACATCATCGAGCACACTAAGGAGGCCTTCAGGAACAAAGAGTATCCTTTAACATGATGCTGGTTATCAGTCTCGACTTATCGAGCCAGTCGATAGACTGGATAGCGGGCTTTGTCTTGGTTAGCTGAACTGATGTGCTCATAGTCACGAGTAGAACGCTATAAAGCTGGCTAAAGCAAGGAATTTGACCTGACATTTCTCCCCGTTAAGTGTTTCCCCGCATGTACACAGTTTACTCTGGGTTGACAGGCTGGCTAGCTAACACTCCGCTGTTTCTGGTAATTAAATAATTTTACCTATTAGTTAGCTTTTTACCTAACCGAGCTAAATGTATGACTGTAAATAGCACGTCATTGTAGAGAAGGGCGAAAAGGAGTCTTTCACTTTCATGTTTTACGGTTCTGCTGGCAATGCTAACAGGGTGAGCTAGCCAGTTGCTAACGTTAGGTATCCCATTATGTCACAATAGCCCAGACTGACGCCGCTCCCCGGCTGGTAATGTGTTAGCTGGTAATGCTAGCACAGAAGCCTCTCAAAGTCCGTTTCGCTTTAACTTACTTTCGTATTTTGGGCAGACTGAAAGGTGTTCAGTGACTTATGACAGCATTTTGTTGTTAGCTTGGTTTCTTCTGTTGTCACAATTGGAGTACTTTACCACGTTGTTAAAACGTTCACATGAACGCTTTAAGCTCTTAAAGGTCCACGACTGTCAGCAAGGTTATGAAACCTGCTGTGGCACACGTAGCTAGTGTTAAGTGTCCATAATATGCTGATATGGATAATCGATTATGATATTTGACTTTATGCGGGTGTCTAAACTCTGTTATCCATTTTTATTGTCTTAATAAAGCTTTGTGAACCACTACGCTGTCAAACAGTCCCATCTATGGGAATTTGACTTGGTATGTTGTTAGAGTACCCATGGAAATGTAGTATATTCCATTACACAGCATCCAACTGATCTTTCTGACTTTCTCTGAAATCATTATTCTTTCCCGTCCCTAAATCTCTCCTTGTCTTGTTAGGACAGGACTATTCACAGATGATTTGTTTTGAAATGTGTTTATGCTGGGTCTCTTTACCTCTCATTATGCTCAGTGATGTTAAATGTCATGATGGAATTTTATTGACTTGCATCTTGCTTGTTGTGCGTAAACAAAACCCTAAATAGGAAAACATTTGGATGATGTAACTTCCTTGACCGAATGTACACAGAGAGTACGAGGCCCGCCTACAGAGATATAATGAACGCATTTGGACATGCAAGAGCACTGGAAGCAGCCAGCTCACTCACAAAGAGGCATGGGAGGAGGAACAAGAAGTCACCGAACTGTTAGTATTACATCCACAATGTTGCACGTGCACATTCATTATTCCATGTTAACTTGTGAAAGCTCTGTTGGTCTACTATGCTGATTTCAGACCAAACAGAGTATGCACTTTTAATAAAGGCTGTTGAGTGAGTGAAAATGCATAGATTCAATTCTTTAGGTCCTGCCCTTTGTATTCAGATGTCCAGTAAAACCTGGTTTGCATAAATCTCTGATTGTAAAAACCACACCTACTTATGTGGAAGGACTGTGCAAGAAATACACAGTAGTCACCTAACAGAAGTTCATGGTATCAACAAAGAAGGGAACCATACAACCCCAGTGAAGGTCACAAGGCTTACTGCTTTGCTATGATTGGATAAATCTTGTGCTCCTCCTCTCAGTCTATTTAGAGGGCGAGTGACTCAGTCATCCTTGAATCTGCAAGGGCCTGAGTTCCTTTATCCTGAACCTATGGAAAATAATAAAATGGTTCAACTCATCTCTTTCGGTCCACTTGACTTGAAATATGTATTGACATATGGGATCACTATGTCCTTTTAGCAAGAGAGAGAACAAAAAAATAAATATGGCCCAAAGAGATGTCACAGCAGAGACTGGGAAGAGCAGTGCTCAGGAGCCCAGAGCTGAAGTAAGTCGGGATCATGAGCTGTACAGTATTTACACTCTAATTATTTCAGCCAAGAAAAACTACTCCCCCTACTGGCAACCCTCGGCAAACGAGCCATCCATCTATTTTCTTCTGCTTATTACAGTTCAGGGTCATGGTGTGTCTATCACAGGTTGATTTCTGCACTGCAGATCTAAGCAAAGTAAAACAAATCATGTGATGATGAACGCTGTGTTAGCATCACAACCCCTGTGAACAGAGAACGATGGAGCTGCAAGACAGTGTCACACTTGTTACCTTTTTATAAACTAACCATTGATCACTGTGTGTGTGTGTGTGTGTGCATGTGCAGGCTTCAAGAGGAGTATCCAAAGTGGTTTGAGAAACCAGTCCTTGAGATGGTTCACCACAACACAGTGTCTTTAGACAAACTGGTTGAGATGGCTTGGGTGGAAATCCTCACCAAATATGCTGTGGGTGAAGAGTGCGACTTCCTGGTCAGTTTGACAGTTTACTCTTATTACATTTCTAAACTTGTCTGTAATGTCAATCTTATGATATTGTCAGTATTTTTATTTTTAACCTGATAATTTACTGCATTAAAAGTTATAGTGTGTGTGTAAAATTTCTCATATAATGTCAAATCTTACATCTTGGCTTCAGGTGGGCAAGGAGAAAAGTTTGCGAGTGACAGTGGTAAAGATCCACCCCTTGGAAAACACAGAGGGTGAGTCTGGGGAAAAGAAACTTGAAGGTGCTTGTGACTCTCCATCCAGCGACAAGGAGAACGCAAGCCAGGAAAACCAGAGGAAGGAGCCTCCTCCCCGAGAGGAGAACAGGAGGGAGAGTCTGAGTGAGTGCCAATCAGTTTTAGGAGGCGAAATCTTGCATCGTGGATAAAATTAAGAACATGTTGTAAATGCTGCTTGGATAAGCAGGTTAAAATTGTTTATTTATACAGTATTTGTTCAATATATGATATTTGGCTTCCTGTTAGGTGACAGAGCACGACGTTCTCCGAGGAAACTACCCACTGCCATGAAAGAAGAGAGGAAGAAATGGGCAATGCCTAAATTCCTTCCTCATAAGTATGATGTAAAGCTCATCAATGAGGACAAGGTTTGTTTTGTTTTTTTACATCATCACTCAAGAAATGGTGTGTGGAGTGTGTTCTATTTTTAGAGTATAAAAGGTTATACTTAAGGTTCATATACTTGTGAACAATAGACTTGGTGATTTTAAGAAAAACTGGACTCTAAATTTCCAACATGTGTCATAGGTGATCTGTGACGTCCCAGCGGACAGTCTTTATAGAACAGAGCGTCCTCCAACCAAGGAGATCATGCGCTACTTCATCAGACACTATGCTCTAAGGCTGGGCATGGGAGAAAGTGCTCCCTGGGTGGTTGAAGATGAACTGGTGAAAAAATTTAACCTGCCCAGCAAATTCAACGACTTTCTTCTCGATCCACACAAGGTAAGTTTAGTTATTTCATTTTGCTGTTCATTATTTAAATCAGTTTTTTAAGTGTTGCGTGTTCTTGACTCACCTTCCTGTGTACATCTCAAGTTCTTGGCAGAGAATCCCTCCACGAAGCGCAAGCGCTTGTCATCTCCAGAGGGTAAGCCTAACAAGAAGCTCAAGACTGCTGACACTCCAGGAGAAGATTCGGGCAATGAGAAGGAAGAAAAGAAGAAGAAAAAGAAGAAAGATGCTTTAGGCATGCCCCTTAGTCCCACCATCTGGGGCCACATGCAGGTTAGTCAGCTTGTGTGTACATGGTGAAATGTCATTTCATTTATGAGGTATCCCTCAAACGTCACTGTTATGTTTAATGGTTCCTTGGTTGTATTTCAGAAAATAAAAATGAATGGTTCTCCACTCAAGGTAAAGAACTCAGGAACCCCTAAGAAAGGAGAAGGTAAAGGCTCCGCTCCCTCCACTCCGAAATCTGGCAAAAAGTCAGGGGACAAAAAAGAAGGAAAGAAAACTGGAAAGAGTGGTGAGAAGAAACTCAATGTTCTCAAAGCATCCAAAAAGGACGGTAAAGCTGGTGCTAAGGGGCCAAAGATGAAGCAGATGACTCTACTGCATCTGGCTAAGAGCGGTGCTGCAGGAAGCCCAAAGAAGAGAGCTCGTAGTTCTGGCATTGGTACACCGAAACTTGGGAAGCCACTACACCCTATGGCTCTCCACCTCCTTCGTTACTACAAGGAGAACAAGGGTAAAGAGGATAAGAAGAACTCCCTTTCATCCCTTATCTCCAAAGCTGCCAAGACCTTGTCCCCAGATGATCGTAGTCGCCTTCCAGAGGAACTCAAGGAGCTAGTGCAGAAACGCTGGGAGCTTCTGGAGCAGAAGAAGCGATGGGCAGCCATGAGTGAAGAGGAAAAGAAGGAAGAGCTGAAGAAGAGGCGTGAGGAACTCAAAGAGAAGTTAAGAGAAAAGGCCAAGGAGAGACGAGAGAAGGAGATGCTGGTCCGCCGTGAACAGTCGCGCCGATACGAAGATCAGGAGATCGAAGGTGGCAAGCCTCTGCCTGCATTCAAGCTTGTGGACATGCCTGAGGGGTTGCCCAACACATTGTTTGGGAATGTGGCCATGGTTGTGGACTTCCTTCACTGTTACTCAGGGCTGCTGATGCCAAATGACCAGTATCCCATCACAGCAGCGGCTCTGATGGAAGCGCTAGCTGGGGAACGGTCTGGCTTCCTTTATCTAAACCGTGTGCTGGTGGTGCTGCTCCAAACATTACTGCAGGATGAGCTGGCTGAGGGCTACAGTGAGCTCGACATGCCCTTATCTGAGATTCCTCTGACTATGCACTCAGCTTCCGAGCTGGCACGGTTGTGCCTGCGACCATGTGACGCTCACGGTGAGGAGAGCGGCCAGGGCTCAGAAGACTCTGGGGCCATGGGTGGATATGACGATGTGGTGACCAGCGAGTTCCTGGATAAACTCGAGACAACCGAGGTGTTTGAGCTGAGCCCCGAGGAGAAAGTCACCCTGTTAGTGGCGCTGTGCCACCGGATCCTGATGACGTACAGTGTGGAAGACCATGTTGATGCAATGCAGCAGCGGTCAGCTGAGCTGTGGAAGGAGCGTTTGGCAATGCTGAAAGAGGCCAATGACCGCAAGAGGGCTGAGAAGAAGAGGCGGAAGGAGATGGAGAACAAAGGTAGGAGGGATCATCAGTTTTACCAGTCTCAATATATTGCTGTGAATCAAATGTGTACTTTACACACAGTTTCTAAACTGTGCATCTACATTTTACCCTAAGAATTGTCAGAGAAAGTAGATGCCTTTCAAGTCTAGTGTGTATTTGAAGTCTCGCACAACACGTGTCTGTTTGTATTAACATATTTGTGTTTTGCATGCGGTTAAAGGTGAGAAGAAAAAAGAAGGGTCTTCTAAAAAGGAGGTCAAGAAGGAAGTAAAGGTTGAGCCAGAACCAGAGGACATGATCAGCTCAGTGAAGAGCCGGCGACTAATGGCCATGCAGGCTAAGAAGGAGAAGGAGGAGATGGACAGACAGAACAAAGGTACAGTTTTTAAGCAAGATTGATACTAATTATAACTTTGATTCATTACATAGTGTGCTTTATTTATTTTTGGTTACTATTATTCCTTTTAGAACGCATGGAGAAGGAGGCTGAAGAGGAGCGGATGCGTAAACAGAGGGCGGCTGCCGAGAGGGCTTTTCAGGATGGAATAACCAAAGCGAGACAAGTGATGCGCAGGACTCCTCTAGGTACCGACAGAAATCACAACAGGTTGGTACTTAACACGAGGAATTAACTCAGTGTGCCAAAACATCATGTCTGCTCACAGATGAAATCGTCTGCACCAGATATACCAGTCATTAATTTAATTGAAACTGTTTACAGGTAAAGTGCTGTGTCCTAAATGTCATGCAGCTGTTTGCCCTAGATGGCGCTGCAAGCCTGACATCATTGAAGACAAATCAGATAATCTAAGCCTGATCTTTTTTCTTTTTTTCTTTAAAGCATATTATTGTTAGTTATTTTGAAGGTGAAAGAATGAGTCGCAGATACAAACAATGGAAATGAGACTTCTTTGAAGGACAGATGGGCTCTGCCTTAGTGATAGAGTGAGGAGCCATTTGGGAGCCACTCAGAGTAGAACTATATCTCTGCCACATTGAACTGAGCCAGCAGAGGTGGTTGCTTCCTTGGTGTGGTGTTCTGGGCGTGTTCTGCTAGGACAAAGACCATGCTGTAGAGATTGCATCTCTTGTTTGTCCCCGGAACGCCTCGGTATTCTCGGTTTATGCCCAGTTAAGCTGAGGGAGGTGGCTGGGGACAGAAGTCTGGAAAAAATTGATGGATGACTGATTGTTTTATGATTTTTTATTTTTTTTTATTTTTAAATTTAAATTTTTATAGCGCGGGTTGTATTTGTAAATGAATGTGCTGTGGACTATGAATGATTCAAAATGTGCCACACTATTCAGTCGCAATTGATTCATTTTTCAGAGGTTAAGTTGGCATTTAAAGTACTAATAATTTTTTTTTTCAAATGCCTTTTTAGGGAGCTTCTGACATTGTTCATTAAACTGGTCTCAAATGTGACTTTATCTGATTGCTTCTCAGTGTTAGAATAGTGCATTAGTCAGGTTAGGGAATAAGAATTTAGTCCCCAGGAACATCCCTGGTCAGGGATGTATTGTAAATGTCATAAATTAATGGGTATCACAAAATTTCTGGACATTTTACCTGTTTCTTAGTCTTTCAAAATTAAAAGACTAACAACATATTTACCAGAAGCACTTTGGTAAATTGTAACCATACGTGATGTTTTTGTGCAGATTCTGGCTTTTCTCTGATGTGGTTCCTGGTCTGTACATCGAGAAAGGCTGGGTGCACGAAAGCATAGACTACAGCTTCACCCCTCCACCAGAGGAAAAACCAGCTGAGCCTGAGGTAGAAGAGGAGGAGGACGGTGAGGCAGCCCCTGCTCCTGATTCACAAGGTAAGCAAAAATACATTCTCTTGAAAAATGTTTGTTTTTCTTTAGATCTAATAATGCAAATATTTTTATTAACTGATATAGAATTTTTTTTTTTCTTCCAGTTGTTTCTGTCTGGTTTTGTTTGCTCTGTGTGCAGGCTTGTTTGCACATAATTGGTAGTTAATGTGTGTTTTTGAGAAACAAATTTCCACACATGGCTTTATCTCGAGACACTAAATTATTATTTATGTTGCAGGAACTGAAAAAGATGATGGCAGTGATGCTGTTAGTGAAGGAGCCCAGCAGGGAGCAGCACCAGATGTTTGTATAGAAACTACTGTTCCCAAACAGGGACAGAACCTTTGGTAGGTGTCTATGTCTGTCCTTATTTTCCTTTTTCACTTTCATTTGATGCATTTTATCCTTTTTGTTTAATTGATCTTCTCCTCATTTTCACTTCTGATTTCAGGTTCATATGTGACAGTTCAGCTGAGCTGGAGGAACTGGTGGAGAGTCTTCATTCTCAGGGGGTCAGAGAGAGCGAACTAAAGTCAAATATACAAAGCAGGTGAATGCAGTATTATAAGAGATTGTTTTAACCCACATAAAACTGCAAAGTTCAGTTTTGTTTTTTGTTTTTTTGTTTTTTCGTCTGTAGTTCATGTCTATGATTTTTATGGTGGCAGTGGTGATAATGTCAAATACCTCTCACTGTGTCAGATATCAGGAAATACTCCACTCCATCCATTTGACCCGGAAAGCCAGGCTCGGCCTCAGGACCTGTGACGGCTATGCAGAGCTACTCAAATATCTGCGTAGCGACATCCAGGAAGTAGCCTCACGCCTGCAGAAGGGCGGCCTCGGGTACCTGGACGATAACGTGGACATTGAGGACAAGGTGAATAGTCAGACAGTTTGAAAATGAGACTCTTCCCAGTCTTTAGTGAAAATCTGTGTTTAAATTCTACTAAAAGGGCACAGCATGTAGTCAGAGTGTTTGTTCAGGCTATCAGGCAATGGGCATGGGACATAGTGGTTGATTAGACAGATAACTAGTGCAAGAAAACAGATGTTTTGAAATCATGTTCAGTGTGGAAGGCATATATGGTAGAACCAAGTACACAGTTAGGCTCTGAAATGTTTAGTGTAAGTATTAAAAGCCACGGTGTAAACAAATGTGGGGTCAGAACAGCCCACTGATTGGCTTTCCAGGGTGTAAGAAATGCTTGGTCATTTTTAATTGCTCAAATTTTTCAGTAAAATTCACTGCCAAACCTGGTGTGGCGATGCCAGTGTGGGCCTACAGCACAAAAGTGTAAATGTCCTTCTAAAAACACAAATTATTTCAATCATAAAGATGTAAAATACTGTTTTTAGTTTAGTTACCGAAACTCTGCATGTGAAGACTTTGGGACTCACTGCAGGTTGGAAACCTGATATTGTTGAAATTGTGCTTATTTTTCTTAAAACGCATCAGGCTGTCCTTAACCTTTTTTCTAAACGGATTACTTGTAATGTAGAGGAGCTGATTTAACAAGAAATATTACTTTCTGTATGCTTTGTAAGTTTTAAGGGAGTATGATCTCGATGAAACATTTGTACTTAGATGTTTAACTGGTCTAGAGAGATGCTCTTTCCTCATGAAGCACCCATCGGGGAAGTTTTTTCTGACTTTACTGGGCATACCGTCTGTGTTTTGAATTGAAATTCTCTGTCTGCTTCATCCTCTTGTCACAGTTGAAAGACATGGAGAGCCTGAAAGACTTCGGCGAGTGCATCATCACCATTCAGGCCTGTGTAATCAAAAAGTTCCTGCAGGGGTTCATGGCTCCTAAGCAGAAGAAGAAGAAGAAGCAAGCAGGAGAGGAAAGCAGCAAGGCTGAAGAGGTGGATGAGGAGAAGCGGTTGGCAGAAGAGGCCAGGGTAAGAGGAAAGAGATGAACTGTTAGCACTCTGATGCTAAAGCAGTATGGAGCCAAATCAGGGTCAAGTTTTATTTATTTGAACTTGAAATTCTGATTTTTGATATTTAAAACAAATAATAAAGTAAAAAATGTTGAAAACCCCCCAAAACCAATTAATTTATTTTCAATGTTTACTTCTCCTCACAGGTAGCAACAGCAGTGGAGAAGTGGAAGACCGCTATTCGAGAGGCCCAGACATTTTCCCGCATGCACGTGCTGCTGGGAATGTTGGACGCTTGCATAAAGTGGGACATGTCTGCTGAGAACGCTCGCTGCAAAGTCTGTCGCAGGAAAGGTTAGAAATGTTTTCCACGCTTGCCCCGCTCTGTGTGGGAGAACGCACATCACCAGTTATTTGCAGCTGATGGGAGCATTATTGATTACGCACAGTTCAAATTCCAGAGAGGACAACAAAAACTGCACTATTATCTAGTTTCACTCTGAATTTGCCAGATTATTATGGTGTTATGGTGTGAATGTGTGAATGAAAGTGAGTGCGAATGGTTGTCTGTCCCTGTGTGTTGGCCCTGTGACAGACTGGCGACCTGTCCAGGGTGTACCCCGCCTCTCGCCCTATGACAGCTGGGATAGGCTCCAGCACTCCCCGCGACCCTGAAAAGGATAAGCGGAAGCGAATGGATGGATGGATTATGGTGTTAATTTGCATGTAAACTTCATAAAGGTTAAAGTGAAGCATTTTGCACTTGCCAAATGATGTTCTGCCCTCCTGTCTAGTGCTCTGGGAGAACCCATCTGTGCTGAAGTTGGAGGAGTGTAGATCCAGGCAGGGCAGCAACTGCAGGGTCAAAGCACATCAGAGTAGTAGTGTCAGGCAGATCTACATACGGAGCCAACCACTCCGCAGGCCGACAGGTGAACCTGTAGTGATAAGATGACAGTAGAAGACATGTGAGAGATTTGCTGAGCTGTTGATACACTGAAGGTCAAGAAAAGCAAAAGAGTTGAGGTGGAAATATGTGGGGCTGCTAAAAAGACCCAGAATAAAACTTAAGGCTTTAAAATTAAAAAGAAAAGGCCTTATGGTTGATGCTGATCTCTTCCAGGTGATGATGAGAAACTTATACTCTGTGATGAGTGCAACAAGGCCTTCCACTTGTTCTGCCTGCGACCGGCTCTCTACCGGGTTCCCAATGGAGAGTGGCTGTGCCCAGCCTGCCAGCCGACTGTGGCCAGACGTGGCTCCCGCGTAAGGTAACTGTCCTCCACTCTTTAAATAAGCTGATCCCTAAAGAGTTCAAAACAAAAGGAGACTAAAATATAACTGAAAGTGCCCATCTTGCACAGACCCTACCACTACCACATTCATGGAGGAAAAAGGTAACCAAAATATAAATAAAGGCTAAAGGAATTCCTGGTTTCAGCTGACATACACCTTAAATATACATCAAAGTATTGAGACAGTTAGTGACTACACAAAGCATCTCTCCTGTGCCCCAGTCCCTAATGCTAACCTGTCTGTACAGTTGCTGAGAAACAGCTGGTTAGGACATAGTCTAACAAACACATTGTTTATTTTATTAGTTTTCTATCATGTGATCAGTAATCGCACACCCCACTGATGGTGTGGTAGCTGGATATAGTGAAAGGGGAGACCCTCTTCAGGGTGCTCCACAAACAGAGCAGCGGATCAACCAGTGTAACTAAAGCCCAGATGTGTCTGCCCTATAGTTCATCAGCTGTCTTTAAAGGCGAGCTCTCCATTGCAGGAACTATAAGCAAGACTCTGATGAAGAAGACGATGAGGAGGAGTCTGAAGAGGAGGACTCTGAGGAAGAGGATGAGGACGAAGAAGAGAATGACTACAAAGCCATGGGACACAGCTGTGAGTATTTTACAGAGAAAATTAGGTAAAAAAAAATTGTAACTCTTTGACCAAGTTTAAGTTCACTCCTACAGTTAAGGAGGTGGTGAGGAATACAACAGTTTGAGTTACCATTAGCATTTTTTCCATACCTTTTTTTTTTTTTTTAAATCATTGTTGTGACGACATTAATGGTCCAGAAAGGATAATTTTAAAGGCTTTAAGACCGGAGTTTGTTTTTGAAATGGAGGATCTTTGGTGCTGAAGGTTGAGAATGAAAGGAATGCTGATGGGGAATTTCAGCCATTGTCCTCTTTGTCTCATTGTCTGTGTGTGATGCTGCACAGCTCAGGTCTGGACCTGACTTTGAAGCTTTGTCACCGTGGCTTCACTCAGAGTATGTGGCAGGATGATCCCTTCTGTCAGTTCAGGCCTGCGTGTCAAGGATAATGATTTAGAAGTTTCAACAGAGAGGTGTCGGTGCACCTAAGAGCCAGTTATCTTTCTCAATTCAAGCGTGAGGCTCAGACAGGCGAACGTTCAAATCATGGTGGCCTGGGAATGTTTCGAGCCACCTCTTAAAATGCCAAGAATTGAACAGTTGGATGTGGATTGATTTCATGAGAGAAACTGCAGCATTATACATGTTAATTTGTACTTCTGCTTCTTCTCCGTGTCTTTCCTCCTCCACAGTGAGACCAAGAAAGAAAAATAAGCAGTCTTCATCACGGCAGAAAAGCTCAAAAAGTAAATCAAAGAAGTCGGCCTCTTCTAGTAATCAGAGCGGCAAGCAGAGAACAGGCCCCAACAGTCCTGCAGACATCGACGAACTGGTACAAAGTTTACAGAGAGCTTAGAACAGACCAGCTTTGTATCGTTTGTCCTAAAATTATAGCTTTTGTGTGTGCCGTCTCTGCAGGTGCGACAGAGCTCCCAGACAGGAGTGAGCAGACAGGTGCTGGAGCTGGAGAGGTGTGAGGAAATCCTCAAGAAGCTGATGAAATATCGCTACAGCTGGCCTTTCAGGTGAGGGAAGAAGAAATGTGACACAAGTACATGTGAAACAGGAGCCACTTTGACTCCTGAACAACCTTTTCAACTATTAGCTAAACTACAGATATTATAGGGACAGAAGTGTTGGGCCACACCTCTTACTCTTTGAATGTAGCTGTTTTGAGCCTGATGGCCACAGGTGTGTAAAATCAGGCACCTAGCCTGATGCTGTTTGCCTCTACAGACATTTAAGAGTGGGTTGTTCTAAAGAGCTCACTGAATGTAAGTGTGGTTTTATGATAGGATGTCACCACTGCATCAAGGTGGTTTGTGAAGTTTCTTGACTCCTTGTACTTGCAGCTGTTACTGGTGTCATCTTGAGTGTTTAGGAGAAACTCAGTTGCAGACCACTGAGTCAGTTTCTGCAGAGTTCAAACCTGCTCTGGCATTAACATCAGCACAAACGTTGTGTGCTGGGAGCTTCGTGGCATGGTTTCCATGGCACCTAGGTGCACTGCTCAATGTGCAGGTGGACCAGTACTTTTGTATTTATGCTTCCATCAGCGTGGAAAGCATTTGTCTATGGAAACTACTTGTGCATTCAAAAACCTGTGTGCCACAGAAATATTACAAGCTTATCAGACTGAGTCACATTTTGTAAATGGTTTTCTCTCGGCAGAAACAGAGTGTGAAACCTGCAAAGCCCAGAGCCTCTTGGGCACTATTTCCTTCTAGATCGAGCGCTGACCTCTGCAAGTTATTTTACACAGAGCAATGGTGTGGGTTGTATGGCTGGTTATTAGCTGCTAATCCTGGCAGCAGTAGAGATTTGTGAGAGAGAAAGGTGCGGGGCTGAACTGCTCCTCTGAGAGTTTATGATCGTGATAATAACTACTGTACTAAACATGCTGGATGGTCTTCAGGGAGCTGCTCAGACATGTTGAAGAGACAAGGTAGCTGGTGGTCACATTCACCACTCTGACTCATGTGACTCCCTTTTTCAGAAGGGATCACCACAATGGGTAGGTCTGCATGTTTGATGCTGGATCTCCCTCATGACGCAACCCCAAAGGGATTTGTGTCTCTGCCTCCAATAAATGTCTAACAGGATTTAAACGTTTATATTTAATATGCCTTATGTATGTTTCTCAACTTTTATAAAACATGAGACACATTGTGGTCCCAGGTCTCCAGTCTAACACTCATCACATGCTTTAAATCCTCTTTCAGGGAGCCTGTTTCCTCTGAAGAGGCAGAGGACTACCTGGATATCATCGCTCAGCCCATGGATTATCAGACAATGCTGGGCAAGTTCAGCCAGGGCTCGTACCGCCACGCCCAGGATTTCCTGGAAGATGTAAAGCTGGTCTTCTCCAATGCCGAGGAGTACAACCAGCAGGGCAGCACCGTGCTCTCCTGTATGGTCAAGACGGAGCAGACGTTCACCGAGCTGCTCCAGAAGCTGCTGCCTGGTCTCAGCTACATCCGGCGGCGTTCCCGCAAGCGTGTCTACCAAGCTCCTGCAACATCAGAGGAGGAGGAGGAGGAGGAGGAAGAAGATGAGGAAGAGGAAGAAGAGCCCAAGAAGAAGATGACAAATGGAAAATCTCATGCGAGGAAAACAACCAGAAATGATCGAAGACAGAAGGATGACGACAGCGAGAGTGAGGAGGAGGAAGAGGATGATGAGGTGGATGGAGATGAGGAGGAGGATGATGATGATGATTATGATGATGACGATGGCAGGAGGAGAAGTAAGAGAACCTCTGCCACCTCGGGCAGGAAGGATTACAGGGAGCAGGACAGCGACGGCGAGCGGGAAACACGAAGAACTCGTAAGCGCAGGGGCCGGGGCGACAACGAGGCAGCGAGCAGCGACGAGGACCGGTCAAACCAGCAGCGACATTCCAAGAGACAGAAACGCTCGTGAAATCCAGGGTGCTGTTTGTTTTCTGTCATCTCTCTTTGCTTTAAAAATTTCTGTCCCGCTCCTCAGAACGATGACCACGAGCGCCTCATCTCCTCCTCACACAGCCAGCGGGACCTAATCCTCAGAAGGACTTTTTTTTTGTGTTAATAAGTCTATGCTCATATTTTGGAAAAACAAGAGAAGAAAACTGATATATATTTGTAACATGTTTAATATTGGTGATGTTTTGTTTGTTTGTTTTTTTCCAAACCAAGAAAAATGAGACATTTGAGATAATCGAGAGGTCCTCATAGCTCTTAAGACTCTTCGATTTAAAGTCGACAACCTCACACACAAGTGTAATTTGACTTAAATGTTGTGAACTGCTTTGTGTCCTCTCCAAACGTGAGTACAGTGTAATCAGAGGGACTTGTCTTCGCACTTAGTTGAGACATGGCTTTACTGGTGTGCTTCAGGAATGAGTCCAGCTAGCTCTCTGCCCCCCCAAGCATCTGTGACGAGTCGCTGACTGTAACAGATCGTGTTGGTGTGTCTACAAACAATCTAGGAGTTTGCTGATAGCCGTCACTTGTAAATTGCTCTTTCTGTGAAGCATCTTGCTTACAATCTTTGGTTAATTCCATGTTCATAGATAAACACCATAGGATTTTACTAGATTTAGCATATGCATACATAAAAATATATATATTTTTTCCCTCCTAGTCCAGGTTTAAATCTTTCATTCAAAGCTGGGCTGAGACTGCAAATCAAAATTCCTTTTCAGACACAAGATTCTCAGCTTCCTCAATCTTGTTAGTGACAGCACTGAGTCAATTTTCAGGCTTCACAGAGCCCCGGGACATTTTTAGAAACCACAAACTGTTTAGAAGTTGGATGTAGCTACCGTGATGGTGACCACTGGTTTGCGAAATCCTTATTAAGAAGCCTTGAGATCTCGCGGTGAAGCCACACGTTCGGCTAATTTATCAATCACAAGAAAGAAAACGCGAAATGTGTGATGTGAAGCCATTAGAAGGAAAGGAGCTTGTGTCTGAAAGGGGCTTTGTAGTCCAATCACTTCACTGGTTTAAAACAAACAAAAAAGCTTCATCCCAGCTTTTGGTGCCAAGATGTTATCAGGGACGGACTCTGAGTCTCCCCCTCTTTGTCGGCTTGTAGAGCTGTTCAACCTTTCCCCCCTCTGTAGTGCCCTGCCACTTTAAAGGTACCTCAAATGATCCGTCAGTTTGCACTCCTCCTGTGTAAAGTACACTTAATATGCCAGCAGCTGCAGGACCATACTATATTTGAAATTGTGTGCATAAACATTTGTAAACAGTGTTTAAAAGCAGCAGATGTGATGTTTGTTAAGACAAATGGGCATTTTTTTTTTAACCTTTGATAATTTTTGCACTTTTTATTTGGTTATTTGTAAATAATAAATAGTACCCAGGAATTTGCAAGGTTTTAAAACGGGGCTCTCTTCAGAACGTGCCACGAATTCTTTTACTTCTCGCATAGTCAACAGCAGAAATCTTCCCTTTTTACGTTTTGTGACACAGTGAGCGCTGTGGTTCAGCTCAATTAGATTAGTAGCTCAGACTTGGGGTAAAGCAGCTCTTTAAAGGTAAATCAAAGGTTTTCTAGCACATCTCCTGGTGTGGTCACCAGGTGGCGCTCTATACCTGCACTTTTATTACTCTGGTGCCAGCATTTTCCAAGTACTTCAGCGGCAGTGCTGCTAGCTGTACTCTTGTACCACCTGCCTATCACTGCAGGGGAGCTTCATAGTGCTGGGATATTTTAGCTCTTAGTGTGCAGAAAACCATGTGTAGTTATTTGGTTGCCTGCCATCAAATGTGTGTGTATATATTACCTGTATACTGATGTGTCAGTGGCTGGGTCGCCCTCTTTTGTCTGTACTGTGCTGTGCCGTTCGCCCGTGTTATTTCTAGTGCTGTTACCATCGAAACTTTCCTGTTTTCTTTCGGCCACTGATTGTTTTCGCCCCGTGTTGTTTTTGTTTAAATTCAGCTTCCCGACACGATTAACAGCTGTCAACAATGTTTGTAAAAATAGACATGTCAACAAACGAGCAAACTGCCCTTCTCAGAATGAGATCTGGCTGTAAATGCTTTCTTTGTACTTGGAGCAACTGCAAAATCCTTTTACACCTCCTTTTTTATATATATTTATAGTCTCTAAAAGCTGGGTTTGGGCAAGTTCTGAGGATTCACTTGTAAAGAATTTCCAATAAAGGCTATGGATGAAGACCGTAGTTCTCCCTGTTTGATTTGTGCTGAGCTGATGAGGCTGACATCACTGCCGTCCGTCTGTAAACTTTGTGATTTTAAAAAAACAAAAAATGGGCTAGCTTTGACAAGCAAGTTATGTCTTTACTTTTTAATAAAATATCAAATCATTGTTTTACACTGGTGTTGGTTCATTTTCTCGGAACATCTGAATCTTTGTGTGGAAGACAAATGATCTGCAAACCCTGGATGTCGAAGCCAAAGCCGTCATAACAGGATAAATTGTTTCATTATTCACAGAAGGATGAGCGACTTGGACTCAAAGCGTTCCATGAAAAGGTGAAGCTGTCTGTTTGGATTCAGATGTTCTCAACATAGTCAACTATACTAACACTTTATTAGGTACACCTATTCACCTTGTCAACCCAGATAATTAGTCAGCCAATCACATGGCAGTAATTTCGTGCTTTTAAGCATTTATATGTGGTCAAGACTGAACTTGAAAGTGAGAATCGGGAAGATGGATCATCATGGATGTGTAGCCGACAAATCTACAGCAACTGTGTGATGCTATCGTGTCTACATGGACCAGAATGAGGGCTCTGAAGGAAAAAGAGGGTCCAACCCAGCACTTGTAAGGTGTACCTAATAAAACAACTGGTGATTGTATTTATCCAACTATAAGGTGCAGCTTTACCTGATTTTTAAAAACTCTGTGCACAATAATTTCGGAATAACCTGAGAAAAGTAACCACTGGTAACCAGGTTCGCTCAGGAAAGGCTTGTACAGGTAAGCAGGTGGCAGCGATGATCCCACAGAGCGTGTGATGTATGGGCCAAAGAAGAGTGCAAGGAGGACAGCAGGACCTGATGAAATATTTAGGAGTGAAGTGGTGACAGCCTGTGAGCCATCTGTAATTTGGCAACAGGTGTACAGTCTAAGATGGATCAGAGTAAAGGTCAGAGATGTGAAAAGTCAGTGGAAACGTAGCACTTGATTAGTGGCAGTTCAGGCATGGTGGCAGCTGCATTCAGCTATAATAAACCTAAAGTGATCTTTCACTTTGGTATGTTTTATTGTGCTTTTTATTTACTCCCCGTAAAAATATATAAAAACCTAATCAATACACGAGGACCTCTTTTTAACACTGGTTCTTTAACTGGTTCCAAAGTCTGAATGAACTTCTAATGAACTCTGGGGCGTAGATCACTTTGATTTGAGGAGTCTCATTGTCTTCTAGATACAGCCATGATATATTAATGTTTTAGGAGTTTTGTGGATCTATCGGTTTCTGTCCAAGCTTGTGAAACGTGAGGTATTTGTCATTCCTCACACAGTCCATCCTACGCAGCGAAACGCGCATTAATCACCCAACTCTCACTCCCTTGTTGAGGTCAGAGTAGATAACGACTGCACACATTGGCATGTCCCACCAAAAACATTTTACAGGTAGCTCAGCAGGGATAAACGGTCCACGGTCCTTCATGATGACTCATTATGTAGCGACTGTGTCGGGTTCGCCCCATGTTACACATTAGGCATTGCTAGTGACACTGCTTTTGGCAGTGTCAGTGTGACCCACGTGTTGGTCCAGACTGAAGTATCTCAACAAGTATCAATGGATTGTCATGAACATGTGCTGGACGAGTGCGTGTGGGGTAGTCTAATTTTCAAAAGTTGCAGATACATTGTTTGACATCCATATTTAACCCAATAGCTTTCACTGCATGTGATATTATTTAACCTTACATAGTCATATTGAGCTTTGTGCACTGTGCTTCCACATCATGTCTTGCTCCCCTCACCCCCAACCAGTCATGGCATATACTGCCAGGTACTGCTGGATGTGTCTTCCTGTTAAAAATGAGGTTTTTCTTCCCACTGTTGCCAAGTTCATCTTCAAAGAGGGTCTTTACCTTACAGTACAAAGCGCCTTGAGGTGGCTGTTGTTGTGAATTGGTGCTATATAACCTGGGTTGTATCATTGGACATGATACAACCCAGGTTCAACATCACAACTGACCAATCCTTCAGTTAGCATTAGCAAAGAAGTTAGCTAATACTATTAAAAACTGTCACAAGCAAACCAACATGAGTAACCTGAATTTGGCAGGAACATAAAACCTAATGTATTATATTATTAATATTTTAAATGCTTAACAACAACAACAACAACAACAACAATACATAGCCAGTATTTTCTCATAAATACTTGCTAACTACTAGCTGAGCAATAGCAAAACGTGAAAAAGCGCAATACAAACTGGAAATTAAGACAGTTTACTTTTGAAGTAGAAGTTGTTCCTCAGCACTGCAGTCCACATTTTTGAAAAGGCACAACTTTTACTTTGAAGGGGAATGTCTCTATTTACTATTTGCATCACTCTTCCTGGTTTCGCTGCAGCTCAGAGAGTACCTTTAAAATGTTTGTAGACGCTTGCATTGAGGAAGGTTTTTGCCTTGGAAATACACATTTTATACTAGTGACAGGTGGTTGCCAGGGGTCTCTGGCCCGATTGTTCATTTCCACTTCTCTTTAGCACATAGTACTGCCTAAATTCCTGCTACATTTCAGTTCTTTTTTAAACTTTCTGGTGCCAAACAACATGTGCCTTTCATACGGGGTCACGGCACAACATTCTCCTGTTTGAGCTGCTTTTTCCCTCTCTGCATGACGTCAGAGGAATCTTTTACTTGAATAGTTGTGAGCATGTTGTGCGTTTTATGACTTAATGTGTGGTGTGGAATGTGGAAAATCTTCCTTATATAATGTGGATTTGCTCTCCTTTATGTCACTGACTGAATGTGTTCGGATGCGTAAAGCTCCCCTTTAGTTTCATGTTGCACATTAGGCATTGCTAGTGACACATTTATATCACACAAACACACACGGAGTTCAATAAAAGTACAAACAGCAGCAGCAGCATGCTAGCAAGCAAACACTG